AGGAATATTTTTTTTTGAGTTAAACATTTGGACACCGTTTAAAAAAAAAAATGTTTGCCTCAATTAGTTTTTTTTACTAATTTTATTATTTTGTAGGCCCGTTAATAAACAAGTCGTTAGGTTTGATTAAAAATTTACATCCAAATGGTCTTTTTAATTAAAATAAAAAAAACAATATATTTTTCCGTGTGTTTCAGATTATTTGTAACCGAGTTTTTTCATTTTTGGGGTCCGAAACCCTTTAAATCAATTTTTGTTTGAAAATGCTTATGAATTGTCCAATTGTTACGAGAATTTATCAGGACAGTTAGAATAATGAATAAGAAAATGTCATTGTTCCTAAAAATACAACAAATGTATTAAGTTGTTTCAGTAATATGATCTACTTTGATATCCAATTATTAATAAATGAAAGTCTTTGTTGCATGTTTGGAAAGTATAAATAAATTAACTTTTACTGCATAGAATGCTCCACAGGATGTCCACACTTTCCAGCACTAAAATTCATCTCCCAGCCAATAAATTCATAAAATATTGAATGAGAAAACGCAGTCCAACTGCGAATGTCTGTCTGGACCAATCAAGCCCGCTGATGATCATCGATTGAGCATGCAAATTGAAAAGACCTTAAAATAGAATTGAATCCAATGAAGGAGGATTCAAATCAAAGTGAGAGTGCATTTCGATTTTTATTGGGGACACAAGGCAAAACATAAATTGTGGCTCGTTGGCAAACAATTAAAATGCGTTGGTGTTGCACAGTTAAGTTTGGGGTGATTAAAAACTGTCAGGGGGCGAGGCAGTGAAAGATGAAAGACCCAATACGAGTATGCTAAACAACTTTCCACGACCGAAGAAAATCATAAAATAAAGTAGAAATCTCTTTTATTGGCCTTCGACCAAATGTCATAAAATATTACAGGCCGTAACATAAATTCTGACACAATAAAAAGAATTCAATTGCGCGACCCTCTCGAATTGGAATTGAAAATTAAATCGACAGCGGCTGCCTCAGCTTATCAATAGCCGAAAACTATTATTAATATAAGGTTCAAGCTCAAGCCAAGCTACATTTCAGGAAATTTATGACATCGCACGAGGCGATAAGCGAATAGGTCACCAAAATATTCCAACTCGAGTTCAAAACACAGCGGCATCTTTGTAAGCAGTTTGATTCAAATTGGAATTACATTTTTCATTTCAAAATTGTGTAAATATTCCAAATCGATACAAATAATGTGTCGAAAATAAATAAATAAGCAAAATATGGTAATCATCAACAGCCAAGTGATCGAAATAACCATCTTAAAAGCTCAGTCATTAATTTGTGATTTTTTTTGGTCGTTTAACTTGTAAATTAAGCGAATAAAAAACGATAAATAAAATTTCATTAGGGGCATTCACATATAAACTTTTGACAAACATTTTCTTACAATATAATAAATATTTAAAAAAATATATATATTAATTAAAATATGTTACCAAAACTTATTGACAATACAGAAAATATTTGCAATAAATCCAATTGTTCAAGAAAAACATTTATCCAAATTGTATTATTAAAAAAAGTGAAGTGCTATATATTTTGTATGCCCGCTCAATCTTTTTTCAAAGATTTAAAAACAAACCCTTTAAAAAAATGGCTTTGAATTGATTTTCAAACAAAAACCATACATTAAACAGAATACCCCTTTTGTGCTCAAAAGTCCAATAATTTCCATATTATATAGCTTAAGCCGCGATTTCATTTAGATCTCGATTTATTGCAATAAAACAAATTTATTATAATCTTTGTATGTAAAACTTTTGACCAACTCCGCGTCTGCCAAGGAAAAATTAATAAGTTTTAACACAATTCCTACTGGATCGGTAGCAAGAGGCTGAAGGGGGGACCTATGCAAATGTTTCGCTTTAGCATTTGTAATTTATGAAAACATTCAATTCAACGAACTCCACCTGCTGTGGCTCTTAATGATCTCAGTTAGGAAATTATATATTCCGATCATGCTGCGAGCCAAAAAGAAAAACATTTCGAACACTTCGAAGCGGTTGGAATATTCGGAACTCCACCAAAATGGAAATATTGCGCCTAGATTTATTACCCAAATGATCCATGAGTGATATTTATGTATTTGTTTTATGTTTCTGCTGCTTTGGCAAATTTAAAAAATAACAAGAAATTTAGAGCGAGCTGTCTGCCATATTTGGAGGCAAATCAATTTACAACTTTTGCCTCGGCTTCAAAGCAAACAGAAATGTTTTTTTTGATTTCGCTCGGAACGTTCTTTATTTAGACAGATTAATGAGTGGCCTGGTCGAGCTGTCTGGTGTCATTTCATGCCTCTCAGTTGTCAAATTAAGGCCTATGCAATATGTGTTTATTATACTTATGTTTAAGTGTATTAAACTGCAAATGTCGCGTCGCCTTAATGGTCTCACTTCAGCTTTTCGCCTCATCTGACAACGTTACAATGGAAATTAGCTGCAAATTCTTTTAAGTGCAAATTAAACGATCTCAAGTGCTGAATGAGGCAATCGCATATGAAACAATATTTGTCTTTGGTTCTCAAGTAATGGCTGTCCATATAAAGTGGAGTATTTTATAGAACTCTCAATTATTTATTTTCTTGAAGACTTTTTTTGGGTTTGGGTTTGGGTTTGGGTTTTTTTTTAAGAGCTCGATATTGATTTGAAGAAGTAATGTGGCCCAAAAAGTATTTCATCAATATCTTTATGTACTTATGGCCTATGGATAATAATCGAATTTAATGAACAAAAAATAGCGAATGAACTAATCGCTAGACTCCAATTTAAAGTTACAGAAAACTGTATACTAGCAATTTACTGATTACCCATAATAAAATTTGTAATTGTATAATTGCAGCTATTTCCGTTTCAAGTTTAAAGTTAATTACCATTTTTATTTAATCCAGTTTACCAAGTTCATTAATCAAGGAAGTATTAAGTGCCTTAGAAAGTAAGTTAAATCCAGTTTAAGCCACATTCTATGGTGAGTGTTTAATTTTAGTGTAATAGCTCCCACTTTCTGGGGACATTTCATTTGGCTGCCCGGCTAATAGATTTGTGCCAGTTTTTAGCATTTGCCAGACCAACCGGTTGAACAGTAGCTCGACTTTTACATGGGTCTTGTAGTTCTCCTTTATGGTTTAGTTGTAAAAAAAACAATACGACACGAATGAGTGAAGGTAAGTTCTGAAAGATTGTAAAGGTTTTGCCCTTCTTAAAAGAAAAGAAAAGGCCACACACGCTGAGGTTTTTGCTTTTTATTTTTCAACTTACAAGTAAAACGAAATTAGAGAAATTTTCTGAAGAGCCATACAAATGTGTAAAGGTAAATAGAAAACTTTCGAGTGGTAAAAGCTCTGCACAAATCATATATTTAACAATGGCTACTTATTGCTAGGTCGAGCAAAAAATTGTACAACTTTTCAGAGGGCGTGGTGGGATCGACTAATCCAGAAGCCAAAAGAAGTTTATAAAGAAACGGATAGCAAAAATTTACATAAATTTCTGTTTGGCACACCTTGCCTCACATTTGAATGTCTTCATTTCGGTTTAATTTTCACTGCTGTGGGTGTCGCACTCCAGAAATTATATTTATGTGCGACAGTGAAAGCCATAGAAATATGATTCGCCCTGCGACCATATAAATCAACCTGAATGTCCCCTGCCACACGAATGCACACCCTTTTTTTTTGGGTTTCCGCTTCATGTAGTTGTTTTTGGTGTGGTGTTGGCTATTGTTGTGCTGCCCAAAAGGATTAAATGGTCGTAAATGGCACCCAAAACGCGTGTGGTCTTTTATGCGTTCGGTTATGTGAAATCAGAGAGCAGGAGAACTTGTTTCATAAAGCAAGTTCAAGCGTAATTCCATTGAAATGAACTGGGATAGTTCAAGGAACACTTGAGACACGCCGCTATAAAGCTTGATCATATGAACATACATAGTTTCAAGGGGAAAAGGTATTAAAGAGATCACCTTAAGGTGTTTAATTTTTTTTTGTTATTTATAACAAATATTTTGTATGCTTTTATAAGTTTTAGTTAACACGAAATCGATTGGAAAATAATCCATCTTTGCTAATTTTGAAATTCCTACTATATTAATATATAATTAGAAATAAAACTGATGTGCGAAGAAAACGTCTCAAATAAAAATAATTTTTGGTCTTGATGAATTCATATTTTTTAAAGACGATAACAAACTCAATTTTTAAATCATAAGAATATTCAAAAATAGCTTAAAATAATAAAAATAAAACTAACTTCATATATTATATTCAAATCGATACATTTTTTTTATTTAATTGTATTTATGAAAACTTTTAACAGACAAACGAATAGATTTGCTCAAGTGATTTTGCAATCAAAACCAATTCATAAATGCATTAAAAAATCATTTATATAAGACCCCTCCCCCTCTGATGTCAGCCAATTCCAACTAATTCACAATAGTCATAGAGTACGAAAAATTCCAATAAACTCGAGGAATTTGTACTGCCAGTTAGCATAGTGACAGAGTCAACAACAAAAGGCCATTAAAAATAATTTGAATAAATCAAGGGAGGGGAGAGAGAAAAATTAATGTTTAGCCACTGCAAATGTCCAGCCGTGAATAAGGCAAAAACAATTCCCCCAATAGAATATTTCATTTACACGAACACACGATCAAAATCAATAGACGCGAGGCTCCAACCGGAGGTGCGGATAATTTATTAATGTGATTAGCATTGCCATTGTGGACTCGACAGAAGATCTCATGGGCTGTCTTTGTTTCGCCCAGATGAAATCATAATAGTGGCTAAGCTTCACCTGAAAGGTGTGAAGAAACATAAAGAGATGTCGAAGAAATATGAATACATTAAGTTACAAATTGTGTGATACAAATATATTTGACAATGGACCTCCCGCATATCTGTGTTTTATGATAATTTAAAGTAATTCAAGTTTATTAAATCAGTATTATGATAAATCAGAGGCACAATCATAGAACCTTGCGTCAAAATCACTTCCGTATTGAAAACCAAAATTCCCTCGGTTATAAGCAAAATTCACGTATTGTGCAAAAAATGTCCGATGAAGAGATCTCGAATATGATCTCTAATATTCCCGATGAGGTGATAGACTACCTGGTGCAACAGCGGAGGCGGGAGCGTGATCTTAAGATCGAGAAGGAGGTGATCAGGAAGCGCCTTAAAAAGGTGCAGGACATGATGCAACTGCTGGAGGGACGCGACGATGGAATCACTTGTACAATATCTGCAGGAAATGTCTACCAAATGAGCACAGTGCAGCAGGTGAGGGACCATCTGGCTGCCAACCTTTCGAGCACCATGGTAGATTTCGTCAAGGCCCACCGGAAGCTCCTCCGACTTCAGAGCGATATTCGTCAGGATATGGAAACGGTCTGGCACAATGTCAATAATATTGAAACTGTCTAAATTTTGGTTTAAATAAAATGGTTTCTATATTATTTATATTTCTGTTAAATCTTTTCGGTTTTATAAAGTAACATTACCAAATTAATCTAATAGATAGAAACAATGTGGAAAATCGTTTTACCATAAGCCTCTAGAGTTTTTTAGATGTCATATTTATCAAAACCTTTAAGCTTCAATTCCCTGCTATATAATTTTCAATATAAACTTGATAATAAATAACAAACATGACAAATATAAAAATCACAAGAATGAAAAGGAATTCAATCGGCAAAATCTTAAACCACTTAAATAAACAAATACTGTATCTTGCAGCTTTAATCTTCATAAGTTATTTAATTATCAACATTTTCCACTCCTCTGACCTCATGTTTTCCAATTAATTCACGTAATGTTTCTCAGGGAAGTCGAGGAGTTTGGCGAGTCACTGATCGAGTTGATAGTGCTGACGACAGAGCTCAAAGACAATGGGGAGTCAAATGGCAGTTTTCAACTTGAGCGACAACATGGATCATTAAAGGCATTAGTGTCAGGCAGAAGTCAGCAAGCCAAGCAACCGTATAAAATTTCGACTGAATTTTCATAGTTGAATTTCCCTACGAGCTGATGCACTGGCGGGGTGGAGGGGCACGGAGAGGGGGTTAGGTGTTGCAGAGGTGGAGCAGAGGCGTAGCCGAGTCACCTTGTCATAATTAAATGTGTAATATTTGTCTTCGCTTTCGACACCTTTCTCTGTTCCACGAACTGTTCGCAGCCCCACTCTCATCTCATCTCCCCATTTTTCAATCAACGCCTCCACATATGATCGTGTGGTTGTTGTTTAACGAGCCATGCCCTTTAGAGTGGACCTTTGAATATTGAAGCAATATAACATACGACCAGAAAATGTAGCCTGTAGTTTTAAAACTTTCGCAGTAATTTCTGTAACTTAAATGCTTTATTTATAGTCATGACTCCTAAGACTAGGAACCTTTTACAAAAAATAAAAAAAAAATCATTTTTTACTATGGTGCCACATTGATGTAAAGATGCATAGTTGAAATTATTTCCCTCTATAACAAAGTGTTTCAATTCGAATTCTTAAACATAAGATATGTGGTATGATTCCCAATTTGGAATATAAAACCTAAATCTCTAATTTAAACCATTTTTTTTACTCAAGAAATATTAAGACATTTTACTTATGTTTTGAAGAAAAGTTCAACCTCAAAAGAAAGGGCAAGGGGGATTTTTCACCGGCTTTCTGGGGGATACACATGTAACACGATAGGCGTAAATTGGAAAAATCATGGGCATTTCATCAGTTTAAAAACTCTATTTCTTTTTTATATTTCCAAAACTGGTTTCGCTTCAGTCGTTTCAAAAGCGAAAAGTGCGTCGTCTTTGGAAAAACCCCCTCTGTATATTTTTCCCTCTCATCTGGAAGCCCATTTGGAGCCATTGTTGTTTGTGTTTTGTTCGACTTTCTTTTGTGTTGGAGTTGTTTTTATTGTTTGGTTGCATTTTGCTTTGCACTACGCTTCGTTGCTGCTATTGTTGTTGTTGTTCTGCAGATGAGGTTGTTTGTTGTTGTTGCGTTGGCACGTGCGTTAAAAGCATGCCCATGTGGAAATTTACTGCTCCATAAGCTTATTACTAAAGCTTATTACTCTAGGTATAATTAAAATTAAACGAGTTAAGGGCTTGCACCATTTTACGCTGTTAAATTATCTTTTTAAATTATCCACAAGAATTTTCAGGCATTTTTGGAGTCACTACAGAACTCCCCACAGAATGTAAAACAAATTTTTAAAGATTCACTACATATTTTGTATTTTGATTATTTATTTATGATATAGATAAAGTAATATATATATATATATATATCTCTGAGGTGTCTCTAAGGTATCTCTTAGTTTGAGATTCCTTATAAGGAATAGTATACTTTAATCTAAGCTGACTTCAGTTATATGTACGGTTATTTAATTAAAGCGAATATAATATATAATATAATATAATATAAAAACTATATAACAACTATATAACAACAGCTTCTCTTCTATTGATCATCTCGGATTTGCTATTGGGCATCCCAATTTATATGCCCAGGCATTGATTGTTTTGTTTGGGGGCTTTGTAATCTTTCGAACATTTTTCTCTCTTATTTAATAATCCATCAATTTAAGTTACGAAAAATGAAGTAATTTCGGTGCGACTGTTGATTTGTTTGGCATTTACGGCGGAGACGAAATCAGCGGCGACGGCGACCCCTTTGCGACTCGTGCTCAATGTTGTTAACAAGTCTGATTAATGTCCCCGATTAGCATAAGTAAACATTAAGCAAATTATGTATGGAGTACGGGTTCGGCTGCGGGTTCGTTTGCCGCCCGATTTCGTGGTTCAATATTAGATTTCTTGATTTGTTGTCTATTATTTCACTAGTGTTTTTTTTCGCTAATCAGTAAACAGCCAAGCGCCAACGAAATATAGGAACCGCCAGTGGGCCCCAAAGTTAAATAAGTGCTGGAAAAACTCCAACACCAATAACGGCTGTAAACAACCTTTAACGTTAATTAAAAGTGTACACAAAAATTTGCATTCACGACAAAATTGGTTAACGAAACGTTGATACAGTAAAACTTCTCTTTTCTAAAATATTATAATTAAGACGCAATAAGCTTTAAGCACTTAATTCTACTATATTTAATTATATTTTTCATAAACTTAAAAAAAATGTTGCTTATAAAAAAATAACCAAAATATTTCTGAAAACCACAGCGAATCTTTTTTGAACAACTGATATATTAAAAAATAACTGACAATATCTGTAAATAAATAATTTGGACCTGTCTTAACATAAAAAAAAAACAAATGATAACCTAATCGAAATGAACTTTCAGACAGTTAATTTATTTTATTATTGAATTTCATTTTAAAATCTAAATATGTGCATCTGCTATACCAATGCCTGATTTTTGGTTGGACAACTATTTAAGCATCAACAAATAAAGCTAAGTCTTTAAATTTAAAACAGAATGGAATCAAGTTTTAGTTTTTTTGATCTACACCTGTAATTGCATAGTTTTTGAACTAGTTTCTTTTAGCAAGAGTTGCCTGTACCCGTAGCATACACATAAAAAATGAGCTAGGCTGGCCAGCTCGCCTTTTTGATTGAGTTTGTCGGCGAATTTATGCGCTGACCGCTGCTGGCGGCGATTTGGCGGTTTTGGCGTTTTGGTGTTTTGGTGTTTTGGCGTGTTGAAGCTGAGCGCCGTCCCAACTGTCAGCCGTGATAAATGCCGCTGGATATCGGTATTCTGTATTGGCCGCATAAATAATTCGGATGTAATTGGAAAAAGCCGCTGTGATTATTTTGACATTCGTGCCAGCTCGCAGGTGAATAATTTCAGCATATGCCAGAATCCAAGAGTTTTCAATTAACATTTTTTCGAATTTCCCATCATGGCTGTGACCTTTCCGTTGATAATTGCAGTGGCAATTAGTTTCTTTATGATTGCAAAGCTTTTAGAAACTGTGATAAGATTATTGAATTAATTCAGTAATTGTAATTGCACACCATTTGCATTGCTTACGTTACTTAATGGAAGTAATTTTTTCTATCAGCCATGTTGTAGAATTAATTAAGCTCATATTAGCTCACAGAAAGACAATTACTGATTACTATTATATAGTAATACTTTGAAAATATGAATAAATTTTGAGCTTTAATTTAATAAGCTAGAATTGTAGTTAAACGAGTTCTGAGTTGGGGATTGTAAATACATTTAGATACAACATTAACTTGAAATTTCGATGGAAAAAAACTGATTTGCCCCATAAGAGCTCTTAATTAACCCACTAGACACATTTGCTTTATCGCACATTATTGTTGTCAATATTTCATATAAGATACTACCTATAAGGAAGTTGATTTCCCACTCACAAGTCAAGTTCAATGGCAAGCAGTAGTTCGTAGGCATTCGTTATGCTGTCACTCACCTTTCTCTACCGATTCATTCATTCATTAGTAAAATTAAATTGCTTTTTTTTCGGTTTGGCGGCGGCATGGAATTCCCCGCGAATTTGTTCGCTGTAACGAAATGAAACCAAAATAAAATGTAAAACTGTTTGATTAATGGCATTTACCAACTGGTGAGCAACATTTACGATAATGATTGTTCGACCGATTGCGGGTCGAGAATAGCCAAATAGGTGGACTGCTTTGCGGGCCATGGGCATTAATCAAAAATACAAAGCTTACGAAATCGAAAGAGGCCAACAAGACGGTCCGTCTTCGGATCGAAAGAAAAGTAGGCACGTTCTGTTCGTGCGACACTTGCCAAGCGCCCCCATATTGGGGAGAGCTTATATTTATGCCCATTATAATATGGCAACGATCCCACTCACATTATAATGATTGCCATGATACCGCAGAGGTGGCATTTTGATATGCGATGTGCTGCCAACGCCAATGACGCCCCCATCGCTCTCAAACCTGGCCTAATCTTTGTCTATGGATATGGCCAAAGCATATGGCTTTGTCTTAGTCTTCGATTCCGCATCGAAATCGAAATCCACAAGTTTTCACATCGCTCCGGTGGCGTTTTTCGTGCTAAGCGTGCGTCTGTGCTCATTAATAAAACCACTGCGATGCGATCCTATCCCCAGCTGATATATATCCATTCACACAGATATATTTGTATATCGAAATGGCACGGTGGGGCCAATGAACTGGAAAAGCGCACCGAGTTGCCTTGCATTGGAAATTCGATCCCAAATGCCTAAACAAATTCCTTTACAGTAAATGAAAGTGAAAACCCAGCTTGAAAGTTGGCCGATCTTGTTACAAAATTGTGAACCGTTGTTGAATAGAATTTCTAGGCTGGCAGACAGAACGATTGCAAATCAATTCTCCTAACATATTGTTGTAGTAACCAAAGAAAAGATATATTATTTCACAAAATAAAGTCTTATAAACAAATAAAAATTAATTAAAAATTCAAAAAAAAATTTCTAACTTAATAAGAAGAACCTCAATTTTGGGATTAAGGATTGT